CTAATGTATAGTAGAAAACTGAGCTAGGACAAAAATTCAGTCCTTTTGAAAATGTAATTATGAGCAAATAATTGTTTTATTTTCCCTTTATGTTTGAAATGGCCGCGAATAGTTGTTTTAAAGTAAGGTTATACCGGTATTAAATTCATTGATGTCGATAATCGTTATCATAAAAAACATTCGCGAGCGTCTAACTTTGTTACACAACCACCGTAATTAAAATGTGATAATTAAATCATGTTCAATTTATTTATTATTTATCTATGTTTTATTTATTTCAGTTAGTTAGTTATTCGTATTCTTTCTTTGAATTATTTCATTTAAAAGTGTATGAATTAAAAAGGAAACAGATAACAGAAATTTTCCATGATTTAATCAGTTGTATAAAATTGTTTCTTGTGTATAGTTTTTAGTGTAAAGTGCTGGGGGAGTTAACTCGTATTACTCTATACGTCATTTTCTAGGACTAAATGTGTGAATGAGGGAAAATAATAGTTCTCTTCATTATACCCCCGCTTGAAAAGTGGGAGGGTATATAGTAATCGGGATTTCCGTCCGTCCGTCCGTCCGTCTGTTACGCTTTATCTCTTATCCGCAACTCCTCTTATACTACTGAGTGAAATTTAATGAAACTTTCACAGAATATTTATTACATATTGCCATTGTGCACCTCCTATTTTACTTTTTTATTCGACACGTATTTTAGGTTTCCCATAGGAAAACATGAACATTGCCATTATATGTTTACCAATGACGTCACTAGAAGCTTCTGGATAACATTTGATAGGACGAGTTATTCCTCTTTACACATTACCGTAAAACAATATTTAGCAACACATAGACATTATGGGAGGCGGGGAGTATCATCTAGTGAGCTCATTGCTCACAGTACCTCTAGTTTTGTCTACATTTTGTGAACCAATTATCTTTTAACTCTCATGTAGCCGTTCAAAAATACAATTATATATATATATATATATATATATATATATATATATATATATATATATATATATATATATATATATATATATATATATATATATATATATATATATATATATATATATATATTTTAAATAAATAAAAACACAGAGAACGAGTAAAACATGTTTTAATTTCATATGAAATAAAAATTTATCAGCACTGTGATTTTACTATATATATATTTTTCCCTCAATTTCATATGAAATAAAAATGCAGCATAACTTTGCCATCATTCAATATGTTCAAATAGAGTTTGCAAAATGAAAAGCAATTAAACCATCCTCTTCTAATATAATAGATATATCTTTTTAGCCATGAGTCTGTTATGCTCTGTTCTTTGCCAAACGGATAACATATCACATAGTTTGTCGAAAAAGAGCATTTATTATTGAAAATACCAAAAAAAAAATATTTCACATCTTAAAGTACATATGATACACTTAAAAAATCTTAGGCACAAAATACACAGTAAATCTCATGTAAAAAATATCTCATTACATGTATACAAAGATAAATGTGCCTAAGATGTACAACACAGTACAAATACTGACATATAAATAACAAATGTATTGCCCATTGGACTAGTTATGAAAAAAAGATGGGACTAATTCTTATAAAAAACGCCTTACAAAAACATTCTTATAAAACAAAAAAACGCAATCAAACATTATAAAAAACACACACCATGCATGTCCAATTGAATAAATTATGCAGTTTAAAAAGATTACTTTTTCAAACAGCAGAAGAAAAGGACTCATATGTTTATGGATGTTTTATTTTATCTGAATTTAATTTTACAGTGAAATTTTATTGAATCAATACTAATGCAAAACGTTATAACTTCAAAGTCATTTTACCTTCGCCCGCGTGGCGCAGTGGTCAGTGCGTTTGCTATAGAGTCGCGGAGTAAGGAGTTGATCCTTACGTCGAGGATTCGAATCCCACTGTGGGACGTGGAGACCGGTCCTTCGGATGAGACCGTATAAACCGAGGTCCCGTGTCGCAGTAGGTACTGGCACAAAAAAGATCCCTTACTGCTCATTGGCCGTAAGTGGCGGGTATAGGACAAAATTTGCAGCTCTCAATCGGAAAGTGGTGCCTCTCCATATGAGTGAAAAATTCTCGAGAGGTACATTTATCAATAAAAAAAACAAACAAAACAACAAAAAACAAAAAAAAAACAACAAAAAAACAAAAAAACAACAAAAAAAACAAACAAACAAACAAACAAAAAAAACAAAAAAAACAAACAAATGAACAAAAAACATAAAAAAACAACAAACAAACAAACCAAATATCCTAAGGAAAGTTGGGATAAAACATTGTAATCCCAGTCCGTCCCTTCGACTCTGTCTGTCATTGTTTTTATTCTTCCCGTCATTCATCTTTTAATTTAGGCAGTTATCAATTAATCTTCTAGAATATGATGCACTGTATGTGGTGACCTGTCGATGTGAAGCAAGGTTTCCAAGTTTTCATTTTCATTTTTAACCCAGGAGTAAACTGGAGTTCAAAAATTACGTTTTTTCTACAAAGATTGGTTTCAAAGACTTTCGTTACATTTTAAACAGTAACCAAATCATCCTTTGCAAGATGTTAATTCGTGTCTTGTAGATGTAATAAACTTTTGAATTTTCAAAATTTATCCTGGGACCTAATGGGGTCAAAAATGATGTTTGCTGGTAAACACAGGAAAAAAATCAAAATGTTAGCTATGTGGAAATAGGAGTTCTCAAAGTCTCCACCTCAAACTGGCTGTTGGCCTAAATTATACAAGAAAAAAGTCAAATGTATAAAGTGTATCTATTTTTAAAAGATAAAATCCTTCCGTGAGATGACGTTCGTTAAGTTACAGTGTAGCTGGGATCATTCCATCATCTTTTTATATTTCAGTCCCAGTTACATTATTTAGTATGTAATCATTTTCAAGCATTATACATGTGTTACTTCCACACTCCGTATGCTTCTCCGCGTACACGCCGAAGTGGTTAGATCGTCTGTTCTATAGTGCTGATTTAGCTTACCCCAAGGATTCAAATCCACTTTGGGGACGTCCCAGTTTTACTTGTTTATAATCATTTTCACAGTTTATACTTTCCCACACCCCGTATGCTTCCCCACACCGTCGCATCCGTGGCGCAGTGGTTAGATTGTCTGCTCTAGAGTGCTGATCTCGCTTACTTCCACTTGAGCACGTGTAGGCCGGTTCTTCGGATGAGACGTTTAAAACGAGGTCCTGTGTCGCAGTACATGTAGATGCTGGCATGAAAAAGATCCCTCACTGACCACTGGCCCCAAGTGCCGAGTATTTCTGTATAAAATAGTAGCCCTACAGTGGTCTCCGCAAGTCAGTGGTGGTGTCTCCGTATGTGTGATATTTTAGGAGGGACGTTAAAGAACAAACAATCACACACACACATTTACTTTCGATTTTCACACTTTCGGGATGAAATTTAACTTAAAAAAATTAGTGGTGTCAGATATTTCAAAGGGTTATCAGCAAGCTCTGACAAACGCATTCACAAATTTAATATGCTTTTTGAAATTCTGCACAAAAGCAAATTCATGTATATCATTCTTCTGTACCAAACATCCGTATATTGGCAGGTACGAGGGTTGATCCAAAAGTAATGTCACAACTTTGATAAAATTGCTATAAATCGACGTAAAGCAACAAAATTAAATATGTTGGAAGCTCTATTTATTTCAAATCAGACCTGAAAAATTCAAAGGAATATGATGTATACTTTTCAAAATGTCGGATTTTAAACAATGCGCGTTTATGGTAGTCGCCGCACCTAAATATAATGTCATATGACGGATACACACCGTCATACTTTTAAGCGTTTCCCCTTCGTTTCATTAAAAATTATTTGTGATTCGCAAATACTTTCACCAATTTCATTTTCTTTAAGAATTCTTGGTACCATTATACACTCACTCTTTTCATAATTTAGCCCTCTGTCAAAATTTTTTGAACAGTATCATAAGAAAAACTTGAAAATTCACATGTCACTCCATATGTCTGTCTTTTTTGACAACGTCAGACACCATTGAACGTTTCTGTCCGATCTCCTATCTTTCGGTCTTCTTGTCCTTTGCAGTGGCGTAGCATCGTTTTTAAAAGTGGGGGGCCAGCCAGAGAAAAAAAAATTTTACTTACCTGAAAAAGGTGACAAGCCAAAAAAAAAAAAAAAAGGAAAAAGTTGCCCAAAGTCGAAAATCCTATTTCATGGGGGGGGGGGGGGGGGGGGGGGGTTGCTACGCCCCTGCTTTGCTTATCATTCAACCATTTGCTGAAACCATCTATTAAGATGTCTCTTATTTATATTCTTTATTCTGCAAGTCTGATTGATTAACGAAAATGTCGCTTGTGATGATTCCCGTATTTTGAAGCAAAAATGCATTGCAACTCGTCGAGTTATTTTTCCCATTTCGACAATCCCTTTATTCAATTCAACAGATTAAAACAACAGTGGTTATGATCACAAATACCAATGTCGACATTCAATTTTCAATTAAAGACTAGAAAATGACGAGAATTGTGTCTTTTAAAAAAATTGGGAGATTAGGTGCTTTTTTAGAATCTTTTAAACGTGTTTGTCTTTTTCATTCTAAGAAAAAATACACTTTAAAACGTGACGTTCCGTTGTGTTGCGGCGACACCCCCTATGCCCTATGTTTTAAACATCTATAAAATAAATTCAAATAAACATTATTAAATTAAAATTCCAATGTTAATTAGATTTATATTTGTGCATCTTTTGGTATATTGTATTTGATAATATGACGCCAAATAAAAAAGACATGGACACTGTGACATTACTTTTGGACCTACCCTGGTAGTAGTCTTGTCCCATGATCCCTTGCACGTCGTTAATATCGAAGTGCAAGGGATCATGGCACAAGACTAGGCAGGTAGCAGAAATTTCAATATTGAGAGACAGAAAAGAAAACAAACCTTGCTTTTTTTAAAGAAAAAATTATCATGATACGTATTTATTCATCATGATACGTATATAGTATATACAATTTAATAGTTTCACTCATAAAAAGTAATCCCTGCAGAATTTGATCAAAATAAAAAGGATTACAGAAATGGGAACATACTTCTCTGTATAAGTGCTTCAGAAAAGCTGATACTTATTTTCTGTCTTGTAATACAGGGTATACATGTATTTAAATTTATTTCATTCATAAACAAAAAAATCTTCTAGGAAATGAGTCGTGTAAACCAGTCAGTAACACTACTGGATTCAGATGTAAATATCAACTTAAACGTTCTTTCTCTTTGTCTTTCATTTCTGTAAAGAATAAAACGCATCATTAATTTACTAGTTAATTTTCATGACAAGCCGAAGATCTTAATATATACTACTGTCCTCCTGTTAAAATATTGATCTGTGCTTCCCATTACGTTTTCAAAATCTGAACTCAGCACTGCGGGGAACGTCATGAACATACAAAAATAAGTCTCACAGAGAGAAGAAAAAGAAAAAGATCACGTATACTGTAACGAGAAATGTAATAAACTGGGACTTTTACATTTTACTTTGTCATAAAATTATTAATTTTGCTTTGTTATTAAATTTGACATTGTAGCATAGCAACTTATTCAAGAACGGAGAGCCTTTAGTTCTCATTTTTCATTTTTTTTGTTTTTAAATTGAATCTTGAAGGCCTTACCACCCGACATTTGATAAATTTCAGATCGCCCTGACTTCCGGATCTGGTTTTCCATTACTTTCCCTTTTGTGTCCGGAACTAGCGCCGCGGATATGGCTGACAAAAACATTAGTGTACCGCACAGAAAGTACATCAAACCGGAAACAGATTTACTCTAAAACATACAGGATTTTTTAACATTATAAATCCCTAAAAGAGATGTCACATACATGTATATATACTTGTTGCCAATTCTGTTAGACGGTAAGCAATAGATGCTTTAACATTTAATAGCATAACAGATTTGGTAAAAAATAAAGAATATTGATGGATTTATTTTGAAATGAAGAAAACGTCACCAGTTGAACAATTTGCGGAGCTGCCATTGCCCCAACACGAGAAATTGAATTGGCACACCCATATCCTATATTCCTACAATGAACAACACATAAAAACACAAAATAGCAAAAAAATTCCAATAATATAAAAACATAATTTAAAAGTATTAAATAATTTCACGATTGAAACTGACTCATTGATATGACGCAACTCTTATTGACAGTTATTACGTAAGAAAACCATTTCTCAAATATATCATTTGTATATATCATTTGTAAAATTTATATTATTTAAGTAATTTTTTGAAAGAGATTTGCCAAAACTTTAAAATGTAAAAAAAAAAATTATTGATTTATTCATATTCCTAATTTTATTAATTTTATTCTGCTTTAGATAAATAATCACGCGAAGTTTATGCGAGGTGAGACGGATGACGAGAAAAGAGTTGCAAGACAATCGAAAACGATATATTTAAAAACGGCTTATAGAGACAAAAGGGTTAAATTATCGATATCAAGTAATGCTTTTTAAGACTAACAAAATAGAAAAAAAGATGTGTGAACTCAAGGTTTTAAAAGAAGATGGAAAGGGGGGGGGGCTCCAGCCCCTAAGTGCCTGTGGTTTATATGTTACCTGACGACGGTGGGATATGTCTCTGTTGTAAACGTCATCAGGGAGGCCCAGGCAGCCGCAACGCCAAGTTTAGCCACCATGGCGCAGCCATTTATAATTGTGGCGCTATTGATAGGATCTGTGAAACATATGGAGATAAAGAACAGTATTCAAGATCAAAAGTCCATAAAACAATACAAGGTAGGAGCAGAGCAAACACGGATCTCAAAAAATCAGAGGTGGGATCAGGTGCCATGGAGGAGTGAGGAAGATAAGGCGTGTTAATCGTCATTTTAGTATAATCTGTTTTTTCTCTTTATTTCCTCAAGTCTAAAATTTATTTTGTCCTTTTGTAACCCTGTCCTTTTTTCATCTTGTATAACTTTTTCAAGTCCTACAACAGTGATAAGTTACAAAAGGATAATGCGTGTATAAAGTTATAAAAGGACAGGATTAAGTTACAAATAAAGGATTGAGTTATGAAATTGAAGGAAAAATTGAGTTACAAAAGGACAGATTTCTGTTAAAAATCAAAGGATTAAGTTAGGAAATGAAAGGAGATACTACGTTACAAAAGAACAGGACTAGGCTAAAAATAAAAGGATTAAGTTAGAAAATGAAAGGAAAGATTAAGTTATAAAAGGACATATTTACGTTAAAAATCAAAGGATTAAATTAGAAAATGAAAGGAAAGATTAAGTTACAAAAGGACAGGATTAGGTTAGAAATAAAAAGATCAAGTTAGAAAATGAAAGGAAAGATTAAGTTACAAAAGGACAGATTTACGTTAAAAATCAAAGGATTAAGTTAGAAAATGAAAGGAAAGATTAAGTTACAAAAGGACAAGATTACATTGCAGGTCTCACAGGACAAAATAAAGTTACAAAAGGACCAAGTTATATGGACAATGTTAAGTTTCAAACATACAAAGTTTGGAAACCAAATTGAAATCATTTAGTTTAAAAAATACAAATTAAAGGGTTCGATTATCTCAAAACGACAATACTTAGTTGCAAAAGTAGTACAGTGCATGATATATCATTCCTTTCTTCACTTATAATATATATGAAAGATGGAATCACACTAGGAATGATTATTCCATCAAAGTATTATGATAACATGATTGATTATGTTGTTTGGCGTCCCTCTCGAGAATTTTTCACTCATATGGAGACGCCACCACTATCTGGTGGAGAGCTACACATTTTGTCCTATACTCGCCACTCAGGGCCATTAAGCAGTGAGGGATGTTTTTCGTGCCAGCACCTACTGCGACACGGGATCTCGGTTAATGCGGTCTCATCCGAAGGACCGGTAATTACGTCCAACAGTCGGATTCGAACTAACTGCAATAATGTAACCCTCTCCGACTTTTTTCATCTGATATTTTCAGGAGAGGGCTACAATTCCCCAGCATCTCGTAATGGTGCAAAAAAAAAAAAATACGGGCGACTGCAGGCAGAATAAATTGTTTTTACATTCAACTTACTTTTAATAAGACGAAATTTTTATTTACTGTCGACATCATACATCGTTAAACGCGAAAACCATGTAAAATAAATCTGTCTTTACTTGTCGCATTACTCAACAGCCATGACAGTTCACACGTCACGATCTGAGACTTGCGCTTGAAATTTAGAATAACTCAATAAAGCAAATGTCGATATAAATAATTGTGATGATAGTGACACTAAACATCGAGAAATAAAATCATTCCATGTGTCATTTTTTCGTTAACAGCGATATTTAGGCTTAAAATAAGGTAATTCCAAAGACATCCGCTCTCTATAGATCCTTAATATCATTGGCTGTCCCAATATAAAATCTGTCAAGGTCAGTAAACATATCGGATAAATTTAAGTTGTGATGTTGACATACACGAAAAATACAAATATATGGGTTATTCTGTATATTTTTGGATCGATTTATGTCTGGGATATCTACATTTTGGAAGTCCAGGTAAGACATTTAAATAAAATAGCCGTTTACTGACAATTTGAGCCGAAATCCGTACGGGAGGGAATCGCTCCCGCTTTGCACCATTACGGAGATCCTAAGGAGTTGTAGCCCTCTCCGAAAAAAGGGAGAGGGCTACATTATTGCAGCTAGACAAAAGGATTGACTCCTGACTTCGCGACTCTAGAGCTAACGAACTAACCACTACGGCACGCGGCCGACAAAATAAAAAAAAAAACGATGAAGTTTGTTGTTTCCCCATGTTGATATATATAGGTACGAGCCACAGGAATTATATTAATTGATTTTATGTTGTTTAACGTCCTTTTCGAGATTTTTTCACTCATATGGAAACGCCATCTCTTGCCAATGGAGAGCTACATATTTTGTCCTATTCTCGGCGTTCAAGGCCACTGAGCAGTGAGGGATCTTTTTCCTGCCAGCAACTACTGCGACACGGGAGCTCGGTTTATACGGTTAAAAGACCGAAGGACCCTTACGTCCCACAGTAGGATTTGAACCTTATTTCGCGACTCTAGAGTAGACGCTCCAACTACTGAGCCACACGGGCGACTCACAAGAATTAGAAATCGTTTTAATTCCACGGTGTTAAAATTTCACGATATCTCAAAAAGTACCAATTGCGATGGTTTTAATTTCAAGTTGCAAAAAATTAATTCAGAATTTCGTATTTTTGAAAATTAAAAATAGCATTCACGATGGGTTTAATGTCGCGGAAAAATGATAAATCGCGAACATAGCGAAATTAAGGACAGATGATACAAACAAATTTTTTCTTTGAAAAAGGTTAAATATCATGTCACAAGTTTAGAAAAGTGGATGGTTCTTAGAATTTATTCTCCGAAGAACTGGAAAATGAAATAGACTTGGAAAATATTAGTAATATTTCAATAAAAAAACCAATATAGACAAATCACATTCAGTAAAGGTTTACAGGTGAAAACAAATATCAGAATATGTTATCTTGGCACTAAAAGTGTAATATAAACTTAATAAAAATATACCAAGCCAGGTGAATTTTAAGAGGAAGATCAAAATTACGAAAAATTAGCAATATCAAATACGCTGATTTTTACCATTTAGCTTTTCCTAATAAAATTCACCTGGCTTGGTATATTTTTCTTAAGTTTATATTACACTTTTAGCACCATGTTAACTTATTCTGAAATTTGTTTTCACCTGCAAACCTTTACTGAATGTGTTTTGTCTATATTTGTTTTTTCATTGAAATATTACTAATATTTTCCAAGTCTTTTTCATATTCCAGTTCTTAGGATAAAAAATTCTAAGAACCATCCACATTTCTAAACTTGTGACATGATATTAAATCTTATTCAAAGAAAAAAATTGTTTGTATCTTCTGTCCTTAAACCCATCGTGATTAATTGCCAATCTACTGTAATTCATTGAATCCACACCCTGTACTGCATGTCTTGTTTGAAGTGTTTGATTGAAACAAACAAATCTTACTGAGAACTTGCACAATTCCAACTGCCAACCCACCAGCTGCGGCGACCATGTAAAACATAAAGCAGGTCCATCTCCTTCCAATACTAAAAACAAGAATGAAATCAACACACTTATTTATCATCAATTCACACTTACAGCGAGAAAGGTTTGATCCCAAGTGGTTTCAAGATACATCATGAAATTTTCGGACATAACGAATACTGTTTACCTGGAATCAAATAGATATAAGAATAATGTTTTCTCTATAATCTATTTATCTTATTTTCTTTTGGATTTAGATGGTCAAAGAAACAGATTGCTAACAACATTTAGTAATTTTAAGCTCTCACCAGTTATTGAAGAACCACGTGACCGCTTGAGCGGGAATCTCCACGGCACTCAACAGAAACATGTTAAGATAGAGGTCTCCCGAAAGTTCTTCTACCCCGAAGGATATCGCATAGTAGGAGTAACCGCTCGCTAACCTGTGGAGGGAAGGATTTCTTCATGAGAGAGAGAGAGAGAGAGAGAGAGAGAGAGAGAGAGAGAGAGAGAGTTATACAGATAAATGTTTTATTATGTTTAATGCTACATGTTCATGTAAATTCTGATATTTCAGATACATTGAAAAGACAATTTAAGATGATAAAATTTACAATAAATTTGATAGATTTGATATACGTAAAATTACTGGCTTTTGGTCTTCTGCTACAGACTTTTTAAACAAGATACATTAGCAGGACATTACTAATATTTACCAAATAAACCATAATAATAATGAATGCTTCGTCAGCCTCGAATCCCTGAAGATATCTATGATAGAGTATTTCTTGTCTGTTTTCAATTCTGCCTCTTTCTTACTCACTGCAATGAGTTTCGTCACATCCGGTTTCTTTTTACCATTTATTTTAGCAATATGACTTATCACTTTTTCGGCTTTTTCTGTTTTGAAGTGGGAGACCAGCCACCGGAAACTTTCTGGTACCACACTATAAAACATAAAAGAAAATGCGTAATCCATTAAGCCATTCATAACCGAACATTTAGCAATTATACATTAATAATTCCATATCGTACATGATGGATAAAAAAGAACTACCGGTATTTGCTTACAAAATTCCTAGTAGGAATGGTAAGGTGATGATAGCCGTGGCATAGTGGAGATACTGCCAATCTCTTAACCACCAACAAACCAACCCAAAGAACGCGGCAAACACCGGCCAAGCGGGGATCGCCATAACCATAGCCCTGTACCGTGTAGGGATGAACTCTAGGACAAAGTTAAAGAATACAGTCAGGTACATCCCGCAAGCTAGACCAATCACAAATCGAGCCACAGCGAACATCTGCCACGAGGTGGAGAATCCACACACCAAGTTACTGGCTGCCAGTAGGACGAGGGCCAGGAAGAAGGTGGGTTTACGTCCAATCAGATCCGCCACCTGACCCGCGATAAAACCACTGGCCAGGAGCCCACCCATCTGTATCGTGGTTATAGTAGATGATATCCATTCGTCGTCGCATATGAGATTCCACTGAAAGTAGTAAGCTCTCTTTACTGTATGTGGTCTGGTTGAAATATTTCGTGGTCAACATATTCGAAGCGAGTTTCATTAATTCTTTTACAATCTTTCTATTCATTTTAGAATTAAAAATGATCAACATACAAAGTAGTGGAATTGATAAATATAAATAAAGTGATGAAGGACAAGATTAAAAGTAACATTCGTTCAAACAAATAAGTTACTCGTTTGAACAAATCATTCTTTTTCTTCAATGAGAAATGGTGTTCGCCATGACAATAAAAAATATTCGGACAACCTTTCGCAGAAGAATTTCCTTTCTATCACTCAAATTCTTTGAGCTTACATCTCATTTTGATGGTTGCTTGTGAATAATCAGTTTATTGTTTCCGCTTTTAATACCAACATTTAAAAATTTCAGGGTCCTTAAATGACTCCTTCTGAAAGTGCAATCTGTAGTGTGGAAGTAATTCGACAAGTTGTGTAAGGTGGTTGTACTTGTAGAGTATATTTCTTATAAGTTTGACAAGAATTACTCCGTTTACTGGCCCCTACAAAGAACGGCTGATGACAGGTGTAACTTAATTGTTGGACGGAGATGCCTATTTCTTCAAAACATTTTATCGTTATTTGGAATTTCTGTCCCCGCTGTTTGTTGTTCTGACCTTATTTAGACTTGGAGGCTTAAGATCGCCTTGTCTCATCGGAGGGACCGATTTCATAAGTTGCGTAAGAGTGCATAAGTTTCAACTCTTTACTTCGCCTCTCTTGTGCGTCTAGGACAAGCAAATGTCTGGGCACGTTTGTCCCAACGATATGCTAAAACTGACTTATCATATCGAATATTGAAATGCTGTCATTAATAGACTTTTGCACGGAGCACTGACTTTTACAGTCAATGGCTTACTTTTACACTTGGACACTTTATACGGAAGCTCTTTTGCAGTAAAGATATTAAGCTCATCATTTAATTAAGCGAAAATAAAGGGCTGAAATAAAGCACATATGAGTTAAGAAATGAAGAATCCGACAACCAGTGCACCCTGCCCTCAAATACGGTCCATCCCATTTTAGTGCCCCACACAACTTACCTACTGCCACTCGAAAGGTTTTCTTATCTTTATGAATTCTGCACCTCTGTAAATGTCACATATTTAAATGTCAAACTAAACCGTCAACTGTAAAATTCAGATAAGTACTTCTCGCAAAAGTCCAAAACCCAGTTAATAGTCCAAATAATCAGGTTTTTCTGTATTTCAACCGACCTATATGCAAGACCTACCTCGCTTACGACCGTCGACTTTTCGTCACTGAAGCGTATCGACAGACACGTGTCCTCCAGTGAGGAGTTAGATGGCGTTGTGCAGGATTTCAGGGAATCTACGTAACTGTCATTGAAACCGGAGGTTCTGTTTGTCCATGCGCACCACCAATCAGGCGTGGCCCCAGCAAACGACATCATTAACATGCTCCATGTTATTGCCAGCTTACTTCCAACCACAACAAAGATCAGGATCCATTGAAGTTTTCCTAATCCACCACATTCTATCAGAAGCCTTTCTAGTATTTCGTCAATTTTTTTCTTTTAGTTCGTCAACTTCAGACATATTTAGGCCGAATCTGAATGAGAAACAAAAGGAAAATACAAAAAATCTCTCTGAAACACAAACGCCTCACACAATGGTATATATACAAGGTCATGGATTGTAATTCAGAAACAGGTCAATGCGCTGGGTAAATGATATATTTTTTGGTCTTAATTAAACACCACGTACATGTCAAAGAGTATATATTGCTTGCAGAAATTCATTATTTAGCTTTCCAAAATTCTTTGTATATAGGGATTCAACAGGTCCTTAGACAGCAAATCCATTTTTTTATTGGGGGAGGGAGGGGAAGGGTCCTTTAAACATTATTAGTTCGGGTAGGAATAACCAATCAAAAATCCTTGATCAGCAAGAAAAAAGGCACGTGATTCTAAAATTGACTGCTCCGTCGCCAACGGCCGATACTAAAAGTGAAAGTAACGGGTTTTTTTTACGGATGAGACTTAAGTTAAACATAGCTCCCTGTAGGGGTAGGCGCGATAAAAAATCCCTGTCTGTTTATTGGCCCTGACTGCCGAGTTCTGCTATCTCTATATGAATTATCATTTTTCGAATTGAACGTTAAATATGACACAATCAATAACTCAGTTCATATTACTAGGCAGTTGTAAATTCTGTCCTTTTTTTATTGAAAAAAAATTCTACTCAATATTTCAATCTTTAAACAGTATTTTTTTTTCCAAGCCTCTGACTCCAACAGAAAAAAAAACAATTTAAACACTGTACATGTATAGAGCAGTCATGGATTGTAGGACAAATGAAAGAGGCATCCCTTTAAAATCAATAGAACAATTCCAAATATGGTTTCAATTTCAAATTAATGCTATAGACTTATGAACTGTCAAATAATGAAATTTTGATAACTTGAATTATTTTCAGTTTTGTAGGAAAAAAACATTTAAAAGAATAACACAGTAAAAGAAAGGAAAGATTGATTTTCCTTTCATTCTTTATCATTCGCTCACAAGAGATAGACAGATTGGCGAACTTTATTCGTTATAATGCTCTATATGAAGGTAAATCAGTAAAGAATGAATATCTTTGGAAAAACCATTAAAACTGGTTAATAATTATCAAACATATTTTTCAAATTTCACAAATACAAGTCATAATTTCAATCAAAATCAATAATCATTTTTATTTTCGTTAGACAATAAAAAAAATTACACAAAAGGAAACTTACGACCTTTTTGTCCAGGAAGAGAAAAGTTTGATGATTAATAATCTTCAGAGATAAACAGAAGGTACGACACCATATAACTACCCTGGAATTTGGTTGAATGAGACAGCTTTTCTGGCTATCACCTCCCAAACCTCCCTAAATTATGTTTGCGCGGTAAATTTGCTTTGACGTTGATTCTTTATTCATATATTCTGACTCATGTTTAAGCGTAAGATTTTATTTTAATTTTAAGCTGTTTGATAATAATTAAAATAAAGAGAAAAAAAAATCAAAATCCGCCAAAATCTTCGTAAAATATTAAATTAAAAGTCACCAATCTCATGCAGTATCTAGAAAAAAATCATTGCATATATATAAATGTGAAAATAAACACAAAAATATGCAGGAAATTGCTTTGCTCTTCGTTTCTTTTAGACGAATATGTATATTATACATTGCTATCTTATCTAAATGACCTCCGGGAATATTTTTTATTTAAAACTACCTATATCGAATTTAATTGACATTTTATGTAGTTGACCATTTTTTTTTCTATGATTTGTTTGTTTTTTTTATTTCGTATTTCAAACAAACAACAGCATACTTGCAAGTTAACATGAAAATAGAAATGTAATTTTTTTTTTATTTCTCGAGACTTAAAAATGCAGCTTAGTTTGAAACTCAAACTTTCTCAAACATTAACTTTTTTCAGCGTTTCTTCTTAATTAAATTTCAAAAATCTGTCACCATTCCTTTATGTATACATGTAGTAAGAAGAATATTCAAAAATAAATTTTAACTGTTGTATTATGATTTTATATTTCATATCAGTGCACTAGAAGATTTACAGACTGAGATAAAGAACAGCCTCTCTCCATGTGTAAACCCTGCTGAATATTCCAGGTAAAGGAAATCTACATACTTAACTTAAGGTTTAAAGGTGTATTGAGACAAATTGCTGTGTTAGATTTACGTATGCACTTCAAATTTACATAGAAATGCGATCCTTGCGTTTTTAAAAAAGGTTTATTTGAAAAGGTGTTGAAATCTTTCTAAGTGGTTTGCTGTGTTTGTTTGTTTAAGTTTGATTACACGGCACTTGTCTCTTGTATTTGTACTGAGATTAAATGATATTATCTACACACTGCATCTTAACATCCGAGAAGTTGCATAAATTGGTCACACGGGATTTCGATATCGTGTCAAGGTAACTACTGAGATCCATGTGATTAGTTAATGATTGTTTATAGATCTGAAGACAATGGGTAATGCACTTGATACATATGATCCAAAATAATATGCTTGGAAAAATGCATAAATATAATATTAGACTGTTTTTATGAGGGATATCAATTTCAGAAAAAAAAATAATGAAACTGTTAAAATATGAGTCACGTGAATTATATGCCACAGAATAAACACAATGTTTCTCGCTGTTTCTTAAAAGCATGTAAAATATTTGCTATAGATTTTTACCGAGGAAATTTCTGGAATTTTTATGGAGCTCTTTCACAGAAATTAATGAATTTTCTAACTTCGACTTCCTTATTTAGATAAAAAATTATGTAAAAGACTTATTACTTACTAAGTAGATATACATCAATGAAACATATGGAGATAACGAACAGTATTCAAGATCAAAGGTCCATAAAACAATACAAAATAGGAGCAGAGCAAACACGGACCTCCGAAACATCAGAGGTGGGATCAGGTGCCATAGAGGAGTGAGCATTGTAGTATCTATCGATGTTAGCAATCCGGAAATATGATTATGTGTACATGTTTGGTTTTGCTAATATTTTTATGTTGACCGGAAGTAAGGTAATAAAAGTCCGTGCATTGGAACCATGCGGTTGTTCTTCTTTCTTCAATGGCTATCCGCTGAGAGGCCAACCTTACAACTGGCGACGAGGATAAATTAAATTTGAAACGAACTGTAAGTAACGAATATGGCGTCATTTTTGAGTGACTTACCAGCAGTGAAAAGTTTTGATGTTTACGGCGATTCTACAACTATAAGCACACGTTGGCAAAAGTGGCTTCGTTCATTTGAAATTTATTGCACCGGTAAAGGGGTAACAGATAATGAACAGAGAAAGGCTTTACTTTTACACTGTGGCGGCGTAGAACTACAAGATGTGTATTTTACGTTTGAGACTGTAGAACCAAGTGAAAACGAGACTGTGTATTCAATTGTTCAAAAACAGTTCAATGATTATTTCGTTCCTCAGGAAAACGTACCTTATGAGAGACATTTATTTAGAAATATGGTACAGAAGACGGACGAAACTGTCGACCAATTTATTACACGTCTTCGGCAACGAGTAGAATTCTGTAAATTTGGACAACAAGGGGAAGAACAAATCAGGGACCAAGTAACAGAGAAATGTACTTCTCATCACCTCAGAAAGAAGCTTCTTGAAAAGGGGAAGGATTTGACATTAGAACAATTAAGGACAATTTCGAGAGCCTTTGAGTCGAGTGAGAAGCAGGCCAAGTTTATCGAGTTTGGGAGTAGTGACAAAGTAGACTCAAGTGTGAGTTATGAAGTTAAATCTAGAAATGCGAAACAGCGAAAGCAGAGTCAGCATACACCGGAAAGAAGATGTTACAGATGTGATGAGACCGGTCATATTTCGAAAAGCGAGAATTGTCCAGCAAAAAAAAACGGAATGTTACAAGTGTCGTAAGAAAGGTCACTATGCTAAATGTTGCAAAACAAAAGTCAGAAAAACGTGGGAACTTTCAGAAACATCCGCCAAACAAGAACAAAGTGAGCTTAGTGGACTCAGATGATGAACATTATGCATTTATTGTAAATGCCGAGAAACAATCATGTATTTCTGTGACAATAGGAGGAGTGCAGACGGACATGATAATAGATTCAGGAGCAACCTGTAACCTGATCAGTCGACTTGAATGGGAAAGACTGAAGAACTTTAAAATGAAGTGTGACTCACGCAAGTGTACAAAGAAACTGTTTGCATATGGTAGTAAGACTCCCTTGAATGTTGCAGGAAGTTTCACAGCAGAAATTTCAGTTGGCAAAACTACACATGTGGCCGAATTCATTGTTGTGGAAGGTGGCATACAAAATCTTCTGGGTAAAGACACAGCGTTATTACTGAACGTGCTCAGACTAGGACCCGAACTGTCAGAATATGTTAACAGTATATCAAGACAAGACTTGTTACACCAGTTTCGTGATGTATTCAGTGGACTGGGGAAACTTAAGAATTTCCAGCTGGAGATTCCCATTGACAACACAGTGAAACCTGTGGCTCAGAGTGTTAGACCCGTACCATTTAGTATTAGACTAGAGGAAAAATCAACAAGAAACTTCAGGAGTTGTTAGATATGGACATAGGGTGAGTTAACCATGCATCGGACACATACCTTGCTTCGGACAACTTCAGGCAATAAAATCTCTTTCAACTTCAGAGTTCTGTGTATTTATTTGTTTCTGACTTGAAGCTGAGGATTTAAATCTTTTGATAATACCCATTTTTAAAATTATGTTTTGATAAAAATACACCGAGAATGGCCTTGATGTTACGTCATATTTTACATCATCAAAGGGGAATAACCAAAAAAGTAAGATTTCGCCATTTTTAGAGTTATCGTTCTTTAAATTCGACTTCCACGGAACGAGTCGGACTTGGATGAAATTTGTCAGGGATGGGTAATTTTACATAAATTATAAAGAAATTTCAGTTCAATGTTTGTTAAATTCTTATTAGAGCTGGTTTTTACTAGTATACTCATTTCACCGTACATCGGACACAAATTTACCATGCATCGGACACTTTCTGATGCAAAGTTAATCACTACCATTTTCATACAGAACCCAACTGACAGTTATTTTTTGCGGAAATCGAAAATAAAAACTCTATATTTACAGTCAAAATACAAGTTATTGATATATTACGTCTAGAATCTGACTCAATTTATTTCTACAAACCAGAGTATTTTAACAGATGAGAAAAGGCGCGAATTACCGCATTACAAGCATTTTAAAGCCTTTCTGAGGCAGAGTAAGGCATCTTGAATCTTTCCATATTTGTGCAATGAAATCGTCAAATATATTTAATTTGAGGGTTATTTCTTAGATAAATTATAAAAGTATATCCATATCAAGGATTTTAAAGCACTATGATAAAGGTATGATATTTCCCCGGTCCAAATACCGTCTGTCCTATGCATGGTAAATAATGTCCGATCCATGGTGAATTCTAAGCGATTTTTAAAAACTCTATTTTTGATAATATTTCCTCAATAAAAAATATATAATTGTGTCCCAAATTTATATTTCGATCACATACTAAATGTTAAGCTCCATTTTGATAACTTTCCGTCAGTATCGATATCCCTAGAACTTGTTGAAGTATAAGGGTGTCCGATGCATGGTGAATTCACCCTAATTGAGAAAGCCGAAGGACCTACTCCGTGGGTTAGTCCAATTGTCGTGGCACCAAAACCTAATGGTGATATCAGACTGTGTTGACATGCGACAGGCCAACCAAGCAATCATACGGGAACGTCATCCGATACCTGCAGTAGATGAAAATCTCCAGAACCTGAACCGAAGTAGTGTGTTTAGCAAACTTCTTACAGGTCATAAGCCTTTAGAGTACATTTATTCAGCAAAGTCCAAACCAAATGCAAGGATCAGTAGATGGGTGTTACGTTTACAACCAGATCGATTTAAAGTTGTCTACATAAAAGGCAGGAATAACATAGCAGATCCTTTATCACGATTGATACAGGTGAATGAGCGAAAAGTGGAACAGACTGATACTGATGATTTCGTGAAACTGGTAACTTTACATTCTGTTCCAAAAGCTATGTCCGTTAAACAGATAGAAGCAGAATCTGCAAGTGATCAAGTTCTTAAAAGTGTTCGCAATTGTATTCGAACAGGGACGTGGCCGAAAGGTGAGAACAAAGCACACATGATAGTGAAAAACGAACTGTCAGTTATTGGAAAACTTGTGCTGAGAGGAACTCGAATTGTTATGCCTCAAACAATACGAAACACAGCACTGAAAATTGCCCATGAAGGTCATCCCGGAATCGTGGTCATGAAACGTCATTTACGTACAAAGGTATGGTGGTCAGAAATGGATCGAGATGCTGAGGATGTGTGTAAAAGATGCCATGCATGTCAAGTTGTAAGTCAAACATCCAATCCAGAACCTGTGAAAAGTACGGAACTTCCAAAAGGACCGTGGCAGTTGATTGGAGCTGATCTGATGGGACCTTTACCCTCAGGAGATAGTCTATTCATAGTGGTGGATTATTATAGCAGATATGTGGAAGTGGAAATCATGAGGAAAACGACGACCGATAGGATAATAAGAAGTCTTCGCAGAATGTTTCAAACGCATGGTTTACCTCTACAAATAGTAACCGATAATGGTCCTCAATTCATAAGTGGTGAATTTAAGGATTTCATGGAACAACAGAACATAGAACATCGACGAGTGACTCCACTGTAGCCTCAAGCCAATGGTGAGGTGGAAAGACAGAACAGATCAATTCTTAAGCGTCTTAAAATTGCTCAAGTAGAGAAGAGGAATTGGAGGGATGAGCTGTCTGACTATTTGACCATGTACAGAACGACACCTCATTCTTCAACAGGAGTCAGCCCATCGGAGTTGCTATTCAAACGGAAAATCCGGACAAGGTTACCAACCTTGGACACTACATTTTATGATTCAGATGACATGGACCAGGAAATTCGTGACAGAGATGCGGAGAAGAAAGGAATTGCAAAGTGCCATGCAGATGAAAAGTTTCACGCGAAGGAAAGTGATGTCGAAAAAGGTGACAAAGTTCTTCTGAAGCAGCCGATTGAAAACAAACTGTCATCAAACTTTGAATCAGAACCGTACAAAGTTGTTTCCAAGAATGGAAACAGTGTAGTTGTGCAGAAAAACGGCGCAAGTTATAATCGCAACATTACTCATGTGAAAAAGTACAACGAACCAATTTCTGATGATTCTGAAGAACCGAATGATGTGAATGTGGAATCGCGAGAAACCAGCACCAGTGAAAGTGTGCCCGATATGTCAGTGAATTCGCGTCCTGTTAGGATTCGCAAGATTCCGAGTAAATTTGATGATTTTGTGATGACATAGTGATTAGTGTAAATGATCATCACAAAAAGTGAAAAAAGTGAAAAAGTTTCACTTTTCCCCAAGTTTTGTAACTGACTCTTTTGTAACAATGATAATAAAAACCAATGGCTTGCTTAATTTCTTATCATTGATTCTAATTTATTAAGATTCTTTTAATCTTTCATCTGGGATCAGTTTGTCTGATCATGCACTGTATGACATTCTTTCTAATATTAATTAATTTAAATAAAAGTACACAAGCAAACTTTTTGAAGTCAACGATTATGGTCAAGGCAAATTAATGTTCCACCTAATCGTTAACAAGTAAAAAATATATAACAAGAAACACTTGCAGTACATTTAACCCCCCAAAATTAGATTACAAAACCGTAAAAATTTATTTCATTAATGCCATTTTTCCCACGCCATCGTCTGGTCACATATTGTCCTGATTAAAACGACCATCCTTCCTTCTCATCTTCCTTTTGATACCATTTTTCTTCTATTCCTCTTGGCTAAATTTTTCTATTCCACTAGGCTCCGCCATGCAACTTCTCTAGGCGCAGCCTTCCTGTCCCCTTTGGTTATGTCCCCCTACTCCTCTGGGCACCGTCGTCCTACTCCTAATATATTCTCCGTCCAACTATTTCTTGGTTCCATTCTCTTCCTCCTGTAGGCCTCGTAATCCTAATCTACTAAACTCTCTCCTCCAACTCCTCAAGTCAAGGTAAGTTCTCCATCCCCCTTTTCCTCTCGGCTTTTGTCCTCTTACTTCTTTTTGCTGGCTTTCTACACTTATAGGCCCCATTCCCAAACTTCTTTAGGCTACGTTCTTTTGTTATTTTAGGCTTCAACTCTCTTGCTCCGTTAAGCTCTGTCCCCCTTCCCCTTTAGTCCTCCTTCTCAAAGCTTTGTCATCCTCATATACTCAGCATACGAGTCTCTGTTAATCTTTAACATTGGTCTATTTTACAATGTACTTATCTTTAACTTCAAACTCCTCTTTATTTTGTTATTTCTTTATGGTCAGTAAACTCTAGAAGGTTTGTTCCCATTTCGCCTTAACTGTAAAATTTAGCCTTCCCATTTCGCCTTAGTAAGCTCTCAGACGAATTAGGTGAGACGGGAATTTTAATGAACACCTAATTTAGTCTAAAAACATAATAAATTAAATGATGATCTAGAATTGATGAAATATATTTAAAGTTTAACAAATATTAGCCATATTATATGCTCAGTTTAACAAATATTAGCAAGCATGTAATTATATATACATATGGGGAGGACTTATTTAAATAATTCATATAAGAAACACAGCCTGGGCCGCGGACGGATGTCGAAATATCCCAGGTTGTCTATAGCTACATATGCGATGTCGAGATGCCGAAGTTTACCTGTATTTACAATGTACAAATTCTAACAGGATATTCAAATATTTCTTAGTTTTGCTCATGTTATTGTACATACATGTATATCAAAGAAAAGGGATTTTAAATATTCCATTTTTTCCCCTTAATTTTTCATTTTTAAATCCAAATATAGTTTTTTTTAAATTATCTAATTAACTAACTGGTTATAAAACAGTATTGTAAGAAAATTCCAATTTCATTTAATACTTTTTAGCATTTTCCTTAGTTGTTAGTTAAGGTGAAATGGGAACAAACCCTCTATAATAATGATATGTATATTTCCGGGAATTAATTTATTATTATAAAAGTTTTGGACGCAGAGACCAGGTCTTACAAAAATCTATTGGAATCCCTATGGGTACCAATTGCGCTCTGTTACAAGCAGACCTATTTTTTTATTCATATGAAGCAGAATTCGTGCAAAATCTTAAACGTGGAAAGAATAAAACACTTGCTGTGGCCTTCAACTCGACATTTAGATATATCGACACGTACTGTAATTTAACAATGGAAATTTTCATTCCCATGTCAATACGATATATCTTGTTGAGCTCGAGATAAAAGAAACCACAGAAATTGACACATCTGTTTCATATTTGGATGTTTTACTTGAAAAAGACGTCAATGGTAATCTAACAACAACCAAGCTCTATGAAAAACTTGATGACTTTAACTTTTCTATCGTCAACTTCCCTTACTCCTTCATCACCTGCATAAAGAGTTTATATCTCTCAGTTGATTCGGTTGGCAAGAATATGCCCTACGTATAAACAATTTCTAATACGAGGTAAACTATTGACAAACAAGTATATGAAAGAAGAATATCAGCTGTCTCAATTAAAGTCATCATTTCTATGGTCGATACAATTATCTTGTCATGAAATACAATTTATCCATGGCATCTGATCCCACCTCTGATGTTTTGGAGGTCTGTGTTTGCTCTGCTCCTGCTTTGTATTGTTTTATGGAATTTTGATCTTGACTACTGTTCGTTTCTTTGGTATCTTACTTTCATGCATTAGACGACGTATCAGTTATTTTTGTCGTTACTGAGTGCTGTTTAGTATACATGTACTTCCGTCTACAATGGTGTGGACTGATTACAATGAACAGCATCTAAGTGAATCTCTATATATATAGGGGTCTTCAGATATGGCGAGAATCCGAACAAAAATGGCGGACACATTCCTTTTACGAATCGTGTTCAGCTTTAATTATTAAATTGAACCAATATCTCTGCGGAAGTGATAAAATTCTCACACTTGCATCATTACAAGGACCGTAAGGAGTGGAAGCAACTCCTTTCCAAAAAAATATAGAAGCTACATTATTACAGCAATAGCTAAAAAGTGAAACGGGAAAATTGAAACATAAAGTAAATTTAAACGATTATGAACAGTCTTGAAGCATGTATATGTGTCAATAATTTCTTATAACGTCAAATCAACAATAACTATTATAACCATTTTTAAGGCATATATTTTAATCATTCCTATTTAAAATCTTAATCTTTTACAACCACTTCATCAGAATTCAGAGAGAAAAATGTGAGTCCCCGTGCCACACATGACATTGACACAAATGATATGATAATATCTAATTTAACGTAAATGTCTTGTCAAAAATAATGCGAAACTGGTTTAATGTTCACATTAAATCGTGTAATGGTATTTGGTATTTGGTTATTAAATATCTGCAGCGCAGAAGAGAAGACTTAATTGCCCAACACGTATCTATATAAGACAAGATTTGAAAAAAAAGTGGTGAGTTTACTGATAGTTACTCCTTGTACTTAAAACCGTTGAAGAAAATTACTTTTGGCTAGTCATTTTTCAACTTAATCAACATCATTAGTAATTAAGTTTCAGCGGAAAAATACATGTAGTTAAAAATTGAGTAAATTGATAATTTGTTCCGTCAAAACAAATTAATTTCTAACACACTTTTAAGTCTGTCAAATGGGCACAATTATAAATTATATATATTTTTGCGATTATAAAACTAATTAAGGCGATGATTAATGTTTACAGCTTAATTACAGGTAAAAAAAATTCTTACCTATACGTATGTCGTGTAAAAAGAATTTTTGAACTAGAGATTAACTGTCATTACATAACGGATTTTTTTTTGTAATATCCCGGTCACGGAGCAAACGGTGGGTGTGACCAGTCGGCAGGGGATTCTCACTCCTCATGGGCACCTGATGAAATATATGGATATAACAAACAATATTCGAGCTCAAAAGTCCATAATAACAAAATTAAAGCAGAGGAAACATGAACCACAGAACCATTAGAGTTGAAATCAGGTGCCGTGGAGGATTAAGCATCCCTCACCGACTGGTAACACCCTCCGCGTGCTCCTTGTCATGATTTGAAAATAACGGGAAAATGCATAGAAAATTCAGTGTGTATATAATGGCTTAACAATCAGAATGGATTGATTGATTGATTGATTGTATATCGTTTAACGTCCCTCTCGAGAATTTTTCACTCATATGGAGACGTCACCGTATGCCAGTGAAGAGCTTCAAATTTTGACCTTTACTCGGCACTCAGGGCCATTGAGCAGTGAGGGATCTTTATCGTGCCAACGCCTGCCGCTGACACGGGGCCTCGGTTTTTAAGGTCTCATCCGAAGGACCAGCAACTTTGACTTCAAAGTGCCGAGCGCATGGCGCAGGTACAGTTGCTACCCATTTTAACGACTAAGTCAGTCGCGGCCGAGATACGAACTCACGACCTACCGATCACGGAGCGAGTGCTCTACCGACTGAGCTACCGTGGAAAATACCAGTTAGACTTTGACTCAGTGATAAATTGTATTTGCTGACAAGGTCATTTTATCGAACATAGAACTTAAGAAATGATGACTTTAAACGAGACTGCTGATATCCTTGTTTCAGCAACATAATTTAAACCCTGTTTGTAGATGACGAAGGTATATTGATCTCATCTCTGACGTTTTAGA